AAAAGTCACTTCACCCTGTTGGCCTCAGTTTCCTCATCTGTAAAATGGAGAAGGAAGTGGCAAACCACTCCAGTATCTTTGCCAAGAAAACCCAAATGGGGTCATGAAGAGTTAGACACAACTGAAAAAAAAAGTGACTGAAGATGAGTCATTGAGGCCTAAGGAGAGATGGAAGACTGTGATCAGAGAGGGAGAGTTTCAGTGTTTGCAACCATGAAAGTAGTAGCAGATTAATAAAGATATTAATAGTGACCAAGGGTCATAGTGGGATGTAGTAGCTAGAGAGCTAGCCTTGGAGTCAGGACGGTTACTGGCCATGTGATCCTGGGAATGTCCCTTCACTTCCTGGTACCTCAGGCGACTGACTAAGAGCTTAAGTCACGGAATAGCTGTCAGTGTTCATTTCCTCCTTAGGAATTCCCTACACTAAGGATCACCCAGGCCTGGTCCCAACCATCCACTAGTACTTCCTCAGATTTGTCTAAAATAAGGAGGAGGAGGAGGAGGAGCCACAGCAGCCATGATCACCCCTCTGGAGATTGCACTCAGCCCACTCACTGGAGGGACACGTTGGCCCTTGGCCACACACACTTGTCATCGGCTCTCTTTCCAGTCAGTGGCACACACAGGCATACTTTGGCACATATTGGTACACATTGGCATAAGTTGGCTCACATCGGCACACACTGACAGTGAGAGATCTGAACAGGGACACGTTTAGTGTGGAGCCAGAAAGCTATGGCTGCTTTAAGATCTACTTGTCTTGGGGCAGCTAAGTGGCTCAGTGAATAGAGCTCTGGCCTTGGAGTCAGGAGGACCCGAGTTCAAATCCAGCCTCAGACACTTAACACTTACTAGCTGTGTGACCCTGGGCAAGTCACTTAACCTCGATTGCCTCACCAAAAAGCAAAAAAAAAAGATTAAAAAAAGATCTACTTGTCTTGTTTATGGATTAGGTAGCTGTTGGCTTTTCTACCCTCTACCTTCCTACCTTACATGCATTTCAGAGTTCAGGTCTGTACTTTTAAAAGTCATAAGAGAAAGTCCATGGAATTGTGTATATTGAAGTTGTGCTAAACTAAGATAGGATGCTTTGTGTGTGTTTCTAACACTTTTGTGCAAAGCACCTTATATACCTTTCAAAATAAGGGCCATTCTGACTCCATTGCTTATTATTACTTTCTCTACATTGTGGGCAGGGTAAGTAGATGAAGTTCATCCATCACTTTTACTAATTCTTAGACTTGCCAGTAAAAGATTTGGTTGGGAGCTTGAAAATGATGACCAAGATAAACTCATAGGGTATCTGTAGATTTCAATTATTCATGCTATTTCTCTCCCTCATTAACATGAATAATGAAAATTTGTCACTTTATTTGTCTTAGTCAAGAAAGATCCACTACACAAACTTCTGTAAAATATATTTATGTGGCTCTAATCAGCTCTGAGTTCTGGGCTTTGAATAATATAGAAATCATAAAACATGTGGTTTAGATGTGTAAAGGCTGTGCTGTGTGAAAGCAGATCTTTTCCTAATAACCAGAAAGTCATTCTCATGCCTGGGGAAGGAGATGCTGAGGAGGGTGCCCTGCTTACACTTGACATGGGGCCCAGGATGCTGCCCTTTATGCTGAGCCCTGCATTTCTCCTGGGGCCTTGATGCTCGTGCACACTGCAGGCCTGGTGTGTCTCCTGGGGCCTTGATGCTCGTGCGCATTGGAGGCCTGGTGTGTTTCCTGGGGCCTTGATGCTCATGCACATTGAGGCCTGGGTGTGTCTTCTGGTTCTACTGCCAGTCTCACATCTGTAGGAGGATGGGACTGTGTAACATATGATATAAACCTGCTCACAGAAGAATAGACTTTTACAGCTAAATGGAACCTTAGAGATCCTATACCTGCACTAGTCAGGGTTCTCGTCATCATCATCATCATCATCATTGTCATCATCATTAATATTAATATTAGTAACGACTCACTTTTATAGAGCCCTTTAAAATGTGTTGAGCCTTACCTACTTCCCCAAGTATTGGAGGTGGCTTGTAGGATAAAATGGTCTGTCGTTGTCATAACGCCCACATCAGATTAATGTACTCAGTCAACAAGCATTTATTAAATGCCTAGTCTGTGCCAGCCACTGTCTAGGGAGATGGGCTTACTGACTGCATGGTTGATCTGAGCTATTGTGTAGAAATTGGTTGTTACCAAATTAGACAAAAAGAAAATTTGACAAAAAGGCAATTCATCTGATAGTTACAAATAGAAACAACTTGATTCTTGCTGTTCAAAACTGACTATGGAAAAAGGACAGCAATCACTTTTTAAAGGGTAGTAGCATCAGTCTTATCTTTTTTCTCTTTCTAGTCAACCCTCCAAATAAGACTGAAAATAGAAAGGACATATGGGATCCAGAGGAGGTGCCAGAAGAATTGGAGTTTGATGACATGTGGGACCCCCGGAGACAGCCAGAGTAAGTCAAGTGAAGCCAGAAATGGGTCTGTGGCTGCAAGGTAGGCGAGTGATGGGATGGCGCTCTTTTTCCCACAAGATGCATGTAGCACAATTCTTAACAAGATGGAAAGACAGGGAATGGAAGGCAAGTGTGCTGATGGATCAAATAAGAAAAGATTAGACTTTTTATTTTAGAAATGATCTAACAGAAAGTGGCATCACAGGATCACAGATTTCAAGTAGAAAGGACCTTAGATGTCATCTTGTCCATTTCCTTAATTTTACAGATGAAGAAACCGAGGCCCAGAGTGGCTAAATAACTTGCCTAAGATCACACTGGTAGTAAGTGACAGAGTTAGGTTTCTACACTACCACGCTGCAATCCCATTATAAATTTTTCCGTAATGTCAGTTATTTGTGTAATGTGGGATTCAGAGTGGGAGAAAACCAGCCCCTTAAATTACCAGCATTCCTACAAACTGTTTTATAATACCATGTTTATGTATCAAAGGGCTGCTTTTAATTGTTCAGTGTTCCACAATGGGTGGGAGGCTATGTTCTCACTCTAATTATTAATCATTACACGAACTTATTTCTTAGAGATCTGTAGGAACAAATGCAGTATTTCATATACTTTATAAGCAGGATTAAACTCTTGCTTAGTATTACTTTCAATGCCACAAGTTTTTTAAAATGTAATTTGGAACTATTGTCCCTAGATCAAGGATCTGTGATTTTTGTATGAGTGGGAACTCAAGAGATTACAGCCCATCTATAACTTAGAGTCTTAGAAAGTTGCCTAAGGCTCCTGGACTTACTAATGGTCACATAGCTAATATCAGAAGTGGGCTTTAAACCCAAATTTTCTTGACTCCAGGCTCTTTGCCTCTCATACCTGATGCAGAGATTGAGGAACCCTAGAAATCAGAGACTGTAGGACCCTGACAGTTTGGTCCAAGCCATCCATTGCTTTTATCTCTCTATCTCTCTCTTTATCTATCTATCTATCATCTGTCTCTCCATCCATCCATTCATTCATCCATCCATACATCCATCTGTACATTTTTGAGACTGGGTCTTCCTATCTCGCCCTGGCTAGACATGCAGCAGTCACTCATGGTTCCTATCCCAATTCTGATCTATGTGAAAGCTTTAACTTGCTCCCTCTTTCTGACCTGGCCTGGTTTGCCCCTCCTTAGGCAGCCTGGTGGCTTCTGCTCCCAGGAGCTCATCATCTTAGTGCCAGAGGTAATGTGGAAACTCAATCAGCTCACATGTTCTGAACTCAAGGGCAGTTAGGTGGTAGCAGTGGATAGAACACCGACCCTGGAGTCAGAAGGACCTGAAGTCAAATCCAGCCTCAAGTCACTTAACTCTGATAAAAGAAGTTCTGAACTCAAGTCAAGAGACTAGATGGCACAGTGGATAGAGCACTGGGCCTGGAGTCAATCAATCAGTCGATCAATATTTATGAAGTGCCTACTATGTACCAGGTACTGGGGATACAAAAAGAGGCAAAAGATAGTCAGGAAGACCTGAATTTAAATTTGGCCTCAGACATTTGGTAGCTGGGTAACCCTGGGCAAGTCACTTAACTTCTGTCTCCTCAGTTTCCTTAATGGGGATAGTAGTAGCACCTACCTCTTATGGTTGTTGTGAGGACCAAATGAGATAATATTTATAAAGTGCTTGGCACATAGTAGGTGCTTAATAACTATTATTTCCTTCTTTCCACCAGCCTTAGCCTCCCCAGTAGCAGGGACTACTTTGACTTTTAGATAAAGTACACTGTGCTATCTTGGATGGAGGAAAATCTATGCTATTATAAAATGCCACACTGAGTAATTGTTACTCAATTAACAGTTAATACTGTTAGGTTAATTGAAATATTTTTAGCATATTAAAACACAAAAGCAAGTTGGTTAATTTAAAAATGGTAAAGCAAAATAACTTTTTAAAATTTGCTATCTACATGACCTTCAGTACCCAGACAAAAACTGGGCTTCATCTAATATGATGCGAAACATACAAGTCATTTTAACTTCTCGTCCAGATGTGCTACAGGGTTGAAGAAAAACAAGTATTACAGTTTTTAAAAGAAAGGATAGGTGGAATTTCCAAAGTATAGACCAGTGAACCTGACTTTGATTCCTCCCAAAATTCTAGAACATATTATTAAAGGGATATCTAGTGAACTTCTAGAAAAGGGAGTATTGGTCAGAAAGAGCCAGCCTGGCTTCCTCAAAACTAATATCATTTCTTGTTTTGGTAAGGTTATTAGATTAGTAGAAAAGACAAAGTAGTATAATGATCATAGCACTGACCTTGGAGTGAGGAGGACCTGGGTTCAAATCCTGCTTTTGACACATACTGACTTTGTGACTACAGGCAAATCACATAACCACTCAGTATCCCCAGCAAACTCTCAAAGATTATAAGTCACAGACAAGTTACTGATCTGCATTGGTGGAAGAATTTTTCACACTGGGAATTCCCTACACCAAAGTAATCATAGATCTGGAACAACAACCACAAAAATCGACAGGTAGATCAAGAGAATATCATAGATATTGTTTGCCTAGATTTTAGCAGAGTGTTTGACCAAATCTCTCATTTCATGTTTCAGAAGTGTGAGCTAGGCCGTAGTCATGGGGCTTCAGAATTGGCTGAATGGCCAGACTCGAAGAGCACTACAATCACAAATGGTTTGATGTCAGCTTTGAAAGAGGCCTCCAGTGAAGTGCTTCTGTCCCCTGGGCTTGACCTTATGCTCTTTCCTAATTATATCAGTGATATGGATAAAGGCAAAGACGGCATGCTCATCAAATTCACAGTTGACACAAAGCTAGCTTGTTGGAGACAGAATCAGGATCCAAAAATACTTCTGCAGACTACACTAGACTGCCAACCCAAATCTAATAAGATGAAATTTAATAGGAATAAATGTAAAGTTTTACACTTGGTTCCAAGAAGTCAGAACTTCATGAGCACAAGATGAGAAGATGTGGCTCTTAGCATCTTATCCAGAAGAAATCAGGGAGTGTGAGCAGAACACAGACTCTATATGTCAGCCATCCAATACTCTGATGGAGTTAGGGTCTTGCTAATGTGGGGACTTCCTCCAGAAGTGCAGAACATTCCCCCTTTCTCAGTCTATATGATGCTTGTGCATGTCTTCCACTTTCTATCCATGTCCGTGTCCATGTCCACTTTCTTTCAATCCTCCACAGAGGCTTTCCCAGATTTCTTCTAGATTTCTTTACATTGTTGAGACACTGTTAACCAATACCAATGGAGTGTGTGCTGCCCGTTGATTGTCCCTTTGCTATATAAGCAGTCCATTCCTTTAATATTCACATTTTCTTTTTCTTGACAAACTTGACAAACATCCACAACCAACAACTGGAACTTCTTGAGAAGGGGATTGACATGGTCAGACCTGTGCTTTAGAAATACCACTTTAGGGGCAGCTAGGTGGCACAGTGGATAGACCTCCAGCCCTGGATTCAGGAGGAACTGAGTTCAAATCCGGCCTCAGACACATAACACTTACTAGCTGTGTGACCCTGGGCAAGTCACTTAACCCCAATTGCCTAAAAAAAAAGAAAGAAAGAAAGAGAAGAAAAGAAAAAAAGGAAAAAAAAAGAAATACCACTTTGAGGGCAGGTAGGTGGCTCAGTGGATAGAGCACCAGCCCTGGAGTCAGGAAGACCTGAGTTCAAATTTGGCCTCAGAGCAAACACTTGATACTTACTAGCTGTGTGACCCTGGGCAAGTCACGTAACCCCAATTGCCTAAAAAAAAAAAAAAAAAGAAAAGAAAAGAAAGAAATACCACTCTGGCAGCTGTATGGAGGATGAATTGGAGGGAGGAGCCAGAGTCACCAGTTAGGTCCAGGCTGTGGGGTGATGAGGACCTGAACTAGGGTGGTAGCCATGTGAGTGGAGGAGGGTGGGAAGTGGAGGTAAAATGAACAAGATTTAGGGGATGAGGGACAAGTCAATGATGACTCTAAGGTTGCAAACCTGAAGATGGTGGTGACCTCAACAGAAACAGAGAAGTTCAATAGAGGAGGAAGTTTGGAGGGAAACATAAAGCATTCTGTTTTAGACTTGTTGAATTTGAGGTGCCTATGGAACATCTAGTTGCAAATGTTCAATAGAGAATTGGTGATGTGGGACTGGATATATGAATCTGCAAGTCATATGCATAGAGATGCTAGTCAGACCCACGATGCTGACAAGGTTACCAAGAGAGAGTGTAAAAGGGACGAGGACCAAGGACAGAGCCTTGGAGAACACTCACAGTTAAGGAATTAGATGGATAATGATCCAGCAAACGAGACTGAGAAAGACTGGCCAGACAAGTAAGAGGAAAAACAAGAGAGTAGTATCACAAAAAGCAAGAGAGGAGAGAAGTATTTTGCAGCAAGGTGTAGTCAGCAGCAGAATACAAGCTCCGACAGGTCCTCCCAAGCTCCAAAGGCTTTGGTGTACTGTATTTTTATGGTTTGAAGACCAGTCTAAGTTGGAGAGGCTCATCTCACCAGGTTGGCCTCACAGTGATACATTTTTTTCTCAGCCGAAGCATATTCCATCTGCCAAGTTATAGAGGAGTTGTGATCTCAGTAGGCAGAGGGAATACCCATACCAATGAAATCATGAATCTTTGATGTATTGAAATAAGAAGCATCATGTCAGGACTAACAAACTACTGAAAAAGAAGCAGCAACAGTCATGCACTTTTTTGTGGTACCATGTCAAAAAGAGACCTAAAAAGGGAGGGCCTTCTGTGCAGCCTAGGGCATAGAAGTGGAGACAATAAGAGATCAACAGTGTCTACGTGGGGATGAAAGTAAGGGCCAGGATCAGGCCATGTCAGACCAGTCAAAGCCATAAATGGGGGAAAGTCATGGTACAAGGGAGCAGATGAAAGGGGGGTGGCTCAAGCTGAATCAGTGAAAGAACCAGAAATGATGGGGAGTCCTATGTCAGGCTAAAGTTTCCTTGGGCAGTGTGG